TGTTTTTTTTTTTTTCTGAAATAATAATGATATAATCAAAGCAATTTAAATAAATAAATAGGATGCCATGCTGTTTAAATATACTAAAATAACTCGTGATGAAATAAGCAATGTGATGTCAAAGCAAATAAACAGTTGTAAAATATAGTAAGTAAATAAATAAACACTAACTGATTAGAATAAGAATAAAATAGTGGTTGACAACACTGACACGAATTATATTTTATATTTTAAGGCAACTCCTGACGAGATGCACATGGTTAGAGGTCCTAATCAAGAAATAATTCACCCAAAAATGATTTCTGTTAACATTTACTCACCCACATGTCATTCAAAACACTTTATTTTCTCACTTGCATGAAACAAAAATTAGATTTTTTGAAAAAAATAAAATAAAAGACTAAAATGCAGCACAGAGTACAGTACAGTGCTTTTAAAATTACATGTGGGCAAGTAAATGAAACTAGAATAAGAGGAACTATTCTCTTTAAGTGCGAGAGCTCAGTGCAAGATGACAGTATGAAAACAGACTTGCACAGGCACCGTGAATGCAACATAAATATAAATCATGAGTCTGTTCAGATTTCCCAGCTGTCACTGAAGTAATGCTCCTCTTCTTCTACATCACAATACTTCTCTTCATCCTCCTCTTCCTCCTCCTTCAGCTGAGACAGCATCGCTTGAAGAGCAGCCTTCACTTCCTGAACCTCCTTCTCTAAGGACAGTGGCCATTAGAGTTAAAGAAAATGTCACCAGATGTTTTCTACTCATTCACACACCAACATCCACAAACAATAGAAACAGAGGCTCAGACAGGATCCAAAATTCCACATCGAACACCAAACAAGAATAGAAATCGGTCGGTAACTAGCCAGACAGCTTTATGAAGAACTACAACACAATACATGGGTTTAATCAAGCTGTAATAACAAAAGTCTGACCCTCACAAAAACAGTCTGCGAATGAAATACTAAATCTGCCACAGCTCTAACAGTATTTACTTCAGAAGGTTACCTGGGATGCCTATTTTTTTGTTTTAAATATGTTAATATGCCTAAAAATTCAAGACAAATATGCTTCAGGGTTCAATTGTCATAGAAACAAAAATACACTTTTAATAAAAATGGCAATTTTAAAAACATTTAATAAAACCAATGCAGTAAATAAATAAATGCATTAATAATAATTTTTCAGTATGGTGTATGGAGTGTAGATTGATGTTGATAAAAAAAAAGAAAGTAATTTAAAGCAGTTTAACATAAGGCAGCAACATAAAACATGAAAGAAATGAATAAGTATGAATACTTTTGCAAGGCACTATATATATATATATACATATATATATATATATAGTTTTTTCTTATTAAAATAATATTTAAATACAATACAATTACTTAAAAATAATTTCATTATCGGCCATTAATTATACTATATTTTCATTAAATCAGCCTTTTTATAAAAATCTAATTTAATCTAATATAAATAATATTTATAATAAAAATATAGTAG